GGGGCCGGGATAGGCGCTGCCTCGTTATTTCTCTTATTGATCGATGTGTTTTACTGCGGGGGGGAGTACAGGAAAACACACGGGTTTGGGTAGTGAGCTACTTTGCTGCAATCTTTTTTATACTTTTAATGGTATGGTCCTGCTCTCTCAAACGTAAGGAGAGTTAATGCATTCCTTGAAGAGCAAAGAAACGACATCTGCAGCGAAACAGCAATATTTTGGAACTCTGCAGATGTTCGTTTTGATAGCTAATATCAAATCCCACTTCTTGTTTTAGACAAGGACTTACCAAACATGCCTTGCAGCATCATCCCCCACCAGAACCGCCGGCCGAGGTCTGCCCGGCCTCACCCATGGGCGAAAGCTACGGAGAGATCTCAAGGTAAATACATAAAATGCACAAATGCACCTCTGGAGACAACCAGAAAAACAGCCACCTTTGTGCTACCTTTGCAGAAGTGCCTAAGTAGTAGAGTTAGTTACAATTCCTGACAGTGTCACTTCAGAACATGGCCTTTCCTTGGGTGTTTGAGAGGCAGGACTGCAGTCCCACGATTCTGGGCTGGGGCACCCTTATTTCAGCTCCATTGCACAGTGTGATACATTCTGCAAGCCAGGAAATGTGCTGGGGACTATCTGCAGTTTGGAAATAATAATCAGCGTGTACCTGTGTTCTGTTGCCTGTCTGTAAAATTGTACCCTAATTTTATGCCAGAAACCAGACAGGGGAATAATAATTCTCTAGTGGTGTAGAACTGTAGTTAGAAATTATCTGCAAAATAGCTGCGATAATTTTTGGAAAATTAATGTTTTAAATCCTGATCTCCTAGGCTTCCTAGGCCAATGGGATTATCAGGAGATACAGTTCCAACCTAGATTAACGTATGCTATGTTTTCTGCTTAAATGCCTCCAATACAAGTATTTATTTTGTATATATGTCCGTATGTAGGTATGTATGTCTGAAAACAGTTTCTTAAGAGTTGCTGAGACCTATTTTGGTGTATGTATGCTCTTTTGTACAGAAAGAAAAGCTCTCTTACTTTTTTGTCATTCTGTATCATATCACTGTTTTTTTTTTCCTCAATATGGGCATTCCAGTGAATCTGAAATCTCAAAGGAAACAGGTTACCCTTCTGTCACTCCAACTGATCATGGGAATTCATGGTCTGCTACTCAGAGCTATGCAGGAACCACCACTGAGGACAGCTCAGTCTTCTCTTGGGGCTACGATGTGAGTTGAACATAATCATCCAATCCATGTCTAGCACAGTGAGTAGAAAAAAGTTTGAAATACCTTGGGAAGTACATTTCACAATAAAGATGAGCACTGGATCTGTAAATAAAGCAATAAAGTGGTTGTAGGAAAAAGCCTTGTTTTGAGCTCTTCCCCATTGTGTTCTAGTACACAGAATTATGTGTACTAATTATACAAATTGTTATGTCTCTAACTCAATATAATAATGTAGACATTTCAAAACCTTTTAATAGCTTTTTTTGTTCCTGTTACATCAATATAAGTTTTTTATGTAGCTAACATCAGCCCTAGCAGCAGTCTGCATCACCTCCCAGAGAAAATATATTTAATGTCGTTCATGCCAAGGGAGGTCGTTACTGTTTAAATCCATCTTGCTAAGCTTTAAACAAACAGGTGTCTTTTCAATTATATTAAAAAAAAACACTCAAAATACTATCACTAGGTTTTTATTTTATAACTTTCCTTTCCAGGAATTTGATAAAGTTGCCACACGACAAGTTCAACAAATGTTCAGACAAATTGATGAGCTGCTTTATGAGCAAAAAGAAAATGTACTTGTTGAAGGACTGCAGGAAGAGTGCCAAGAGTGGACATCCACCTTTCCTCATCTCAGGTTTTCTATTTTATTCTTTAGACTGATAGAATTAGCATGCCACAATTACAAAAGAGCAAGAGCAGTGATGCTAAGAGCTGGTTTTTGAAATGATGTTAGCAGCAGGGTGATTTTATGCAAATATGCAGTAGATGAAGATAAAGATCACTCTCATAGTCTCTCTTCCACTGTCATTAGATAAATATTCTGCTATCTCAAATTTTGAACCAATCTGTACCAGGGAAAACGTCTCAAACCGCATTTAACTATCACTAATGAAACTGTATAGCTTCCTAACAGAATTTTCAGTATTTGCTGCTGTATGCTGTTGCACACTTGAAGAATTTTATTCTCAACATTTCCCAAGTCATTTATATTTCGCCTTTTGCCATGGCAGGGTTGTGGGGAAGCAGATAGTAATTCCCACAGATGAAGGCTACGGATGGTATTCAAGTTCACCGTCTGCCAGTTTAGCTTCTTCAGATCTAAGTTTGCCGCAAGAAGAAGATTCCAATGAGTAAGTACCGGCGGTTAATCCAGTCTGCACCAAGATGGGAAGGTTATTTTCTCCTCAGTGGACCACTTAAGATCAGCCTCTTAAACTGTGAGCAATATGCGAAGAACATTTTTAGAACTTTTTTTTTTAATCTGTTTTGAACGCAGCACTTTTTAACGAGTAGTAGTACCTACATACAAAGCTGAATAATTAATTGTGCACTTAATGCATGTATTTATTGGTCTCCTTGCTACCTAGCCTTACCTACTATGGTGTGTCTTAGCTCCCTACTTTGCCAGATGCTGCTATTACAAGTGGAATAACATCTTCCCTTTTCATTTCTGCTTTCGGAAACCTTTTCCGTGCTCAGAATTAGTGTTTTGGGCAAGAAGATGCCTCTTTCTGTTACTCCTGTTCACAAAAAGGCTGACCATTCCAAGTCTCCGACCTTGTGCTCTCCAGAGAGTGAAGAAGGTGAAGATGGAGTAATCGTCTCCGAAGGTGTAATGGAGGAATATTTAGCATTTGACTGCAGAGATGTGTAGGTATCGACTATTACGATAGTAACTAGTCCTGGAATTTTTGCTGTAAAGGCATATGGTTTGGTTTTCATGTTGGTGTTTGATAAAAACTTTTTTTCTGATGCCTTTCCTCTAGAGAACTTATAAGAGCCTAACATTGATAAGGCACTGGGAACTGTCTTTATCCATGCCCTAAAATAATTATTTTGCAATAGTAGTTGAAATATTTTTGAAGTTTTTCATTCTAGCCGTTTCGCTTTGTAATTTGTATTCTATTAAACCTGCCAAAATATATCAAGCTCTTAAGTTATGGTGAAATATGTAGTAGGTTTTTTTATGTTTAAATAGCATTTATTTTTAATATTGGGTCAAATTCATTGCTGCTTGTCATGCACTAGCAACGTGCTGCTGTTTTTGTACTGAAGTGCACAGACTAGCATTTTGTGTGGAACTGTACCTTTCCAGGCTTGTAGTGGTAGCCAAAGAATTACTGTGGATACGATGTTAGCCAAGCCATAAATCACACTATTTTTGCCTTAAGAAGAAAGGATTAAGGGTAAAGAGGATTCCTCTTGCCCCTTAAATTTATTCTACTCAATAAGGTGAACATATGGCCTGAGTAAAGACTTTAGATGGTAATGTCAGTTGCTAACTACTTAATTGGTTTTAATAAATAAAGCTACTTAGATGCATAGACTGTGATATTCAAACTGATAGGTGACATGCTTCGACCAGGCCAGAGGGATGCAGCTACTACAGTAAAGGATACTGTAGATTGAGGAAAAATGTGTTACAGCTTCTTTTTTTTTTTCAGAGTTTGTAGCTTTTTGATGGTAAGTATTAATTCAGGGAACAAATACTAAATCCATAGAAAATATTATCTGCATCAATATTTTTTCCTCCATTCTACTAAGTTGCTCTGTAAAAGTGTGGGTTTTTTGAACATTTGGCTTCTAGGCTTCAGACAAGGAGATGAACAAATGCTAACTATATTTATTTTTAAATGGAATTTTGATTTTCTTTTTAAAGTATCTTTTATTAATGAATTATCACTTACTGTCATTCTGTAAGGGGCAACCAAGGCATGCAGTGGTGAGGTGATTCTCTCAGTTATTTGGCCTTTAGATCAGCAGTAAGTTCTGGAAGAAACACAAGTTCAAGTTGTTAGCGTACAGAAGCTTTGCTTCTTCAGTATTGGACCAAGGCATGTGATAGTGCTGTATAGTGTATTATCAACTCTTAGAAAATGATATTGTGTGAGAAACAGGAGATTTCAGCTGAAGACCTCTGCTGTCTTAAGGCTATTTGCCCAACAGCCTTAATCTATTTCAATTTTAGAGAAAACAGAACATAAATAAAGCTGTGCAGATGTTGCAGTCCCATCAAATAGCTGTAACAAAAATACAACAGATGGAGAACATGAATATATGGTTCAGATAACATTCACTTTATTACAGGGAGGAGGAGTTGCATGAGAGAAAAATGGGACTTTCCTCTAATAGACAGAAATTGGGGTTTCCTCCTATTTCTCCATATTCCTGCATGAAAGATTCCGTGCTCACATTTGTGTTTGATGATGTTTGGAGTGAAGTCCTAGGCTGCATGGAGGAATTAATCTGCCGACACTGGGAAGGATCAGCCTCTGGTAAGGATCACAGTTGAACTGAAGACTCAAAAATGGATTTCAATTACTTAATTTTGTAAGGATGCAAGGAGATGCATTTGGGAATAACTTATTTTTCAGGAAAAAAGTTATTTACTTTGCTAACAGTGTGAAACACTATGGAAAGATTAAACAGTATCATCTAAGAGGACTCTGCTTTAAAAAATGGATTCATAGTCGAGTCTATAAGTAATAATGTAAATAGCCTGTATTTACAGGGGTTCTCTGTTTGTGTTGCTTTGGTACAGATGATGAGAAAAATATCATAGCAGTAGAAACAACCACCAGAGCAGATTCTGGAAGTTCTTTGGTCCACTTTGAACCCCTGCCATTGTTGTTACCTCGCATGCCACAAACTAAAACACCCTCAGTGACCTCTAATCTGGTAAGTGTTTTAAGCCAGCTAGTTTGAATAGAGCTGAATCCATACAGCACTACCTTAGCAGATTCAGGGATGTTTAGGGACTATTTAGATACATAACTAGTTTGTATTTTGCATGCTTGCTGACTGTCCTTTCTAACACTAAAGCTGTTTTTCCCTAGTTAGAATTTTTAATACCTGTTTTTCCTCTTTAAAACTTAGTATTTCATATATGTATTGGACAACCACATGGTGACTTTGCTTATTAGGGATGTAGTTCCTTCTTGATTTACTATTTGAACTACATTGTGAGAACCAGGACTGCATGTGTGAGACATCCCATCCTCACAAGTCTAGCGATATCTGACTCACCAGGGAACAAATCTCCATGAAGCCATAAACAGTTTTTCTCCCCTAGAAACTGAACTTGACACTGTATGACCTGCTTTAGAATTACATGCTCCTAGAGTGGTGAGCACCAGTGTATTGTCTCTGTTCATTTGATTTTAATTCAACTCTTTGCTTTTTATGTCTTTTTATTTCTTTCTCCTTCATTTCTTACCCCTGTCTGTTCCTCACATTCCCCTTACTGTTGTATGTGTAGTGCCCCAAAACCAGATGTGGCCGCAAAACCAAAAAGAGAAGAAAACCACCTCAAGTATGTATGCTGGAGACATTAAAGCTCACTTATTTTCTATTTGCTGTTGTTGTGGTGGGTGGAATTTGATGTTTTTCCCGATCAGCCTGAATTCCAGGAAAGGAGTTTCCAGTTCTCTTCTTGACATAAAACAAATGCCAATATACACTGTAGCGGAGTACTATAAAGTTCCAAATTACAGTTGTTATTGCCAGATTCACGCACATGAGAGCCTCAGTTAGCAAATATTAAATGTGATATAGCAAGGCAGGATATGTTTTCTGTGCATTAGCATTTGCAAAAACAAATTGGAATGGTAAGATGTTCGTTTTAGATGGAGGAGGAATGTAACTGAAATCTGAATGTCTTGGAAGGAAGGAGTTTCTTTCCAAAATTATTTGCAAAGACAAAATATATATATACATGTACATAATTGCCAAACTGTAATTATTATTATTATTTTTACCTCTTAGGTAAATCTGTCACAAGGGTCCAGTAACAGCTCTCAGCGTAATCTAAATGGCTTGCTGATGATCCATGGGATCCAGTTACAGCAAAGGAATCTGTCTATAATGGAGAAAACATTGTAAGAACTACTGATTTTTGCCTGCCGTAATACAGAGCCTTCTTGCACTGAGAGGAATTCAGCCCAAAATATTGTGAGATAAATCGGGCCTGATCACCATTCAATTAAAATGTATTTGTTTAACTCCTAGTAGCCGTAAGGATAATCTCGGAAAGCCTTGGAGTTATCTGTGGGTTTCTTACTCTTGCCCTTTTTGAGGTTAAAATCCTAGAACAGTGTAGGTGCCCTTGAAGGTCACCTAGTACAACCTCCAACTTACAGCAGTGACTTGAACGAGCAAATAAGTTGACTGAGCATGTTAAATGCAGTTACTTGCTTAATTCTGTCCAAATTTTGTCTGTGGAAAAAAAGCAGATGTTTATTTCTGTAGCAAGCTGCAAGTTTTTTACTGGAATTTTTGATAACAATGTGGCTCCTTCCTCATTGTGTTAGGTGGCTTATATTATATGGAGTTTTTTTTACATACAAAAATTAGGTTTTTATTTCTGTCCTAACCTTGTTTAGGAAGATGAGGGATGAACATATATACCTGTCAAGATATCCAATCTCAGATTTTCTATTTTATTGCTGCTACCTTACCACTTCAGGAACTGATGTGTCATTAATGTTAGCACTAACTGCTGTCCTGAATAAAAAAAAAAAAAAAAAAAAGCTTGAATAGGATTGAATAGGATGGGGAAACTAAATTGCCCTGTTTCTCAGTTTAAATGGAAGTCTTCAATCAGTGTATGGTTCAGAAAGAAGTAAAGCTGGGCATTCTTTCAGCTTTCCATCCCTTACCCTTTTCTAGTTTCACTGTCAGTTACTTTGTACAGTTATGTAAAAAGATAAAAACACATCCACATAAAATATTACTAATACAGCCTATAAATTATAATTGCAGCAACACCAGTCATATTGACCATGTCTCCCTTGATTCCCTGATTCTCGTTAGGGACCTGGATGACAAGTGGCCGGGCTCCAGCTCTTTCCTCTCAACCAGAACTTGGCCAAATCGTCCTCTAGAGCTCAGTACATCATCGCTGTCACAGTCTGCAAGGCGGCGAAACCCACCGCCACGTACCCTGCATCCCCTCAACACCAACCACTCTCGGACTGGGACACCGGGATCTGTGGACAATGTCATCAGAGGAACACGACTGTACGTTTCAAAATCAGTTTCTCACAGCAAATTACCAGATTTAGAAAACCAAACCTATACTAAAAGCGTTCAGATGAATGGAAAGAATGCATCTAAATTCATCTGATTAAGGATGTAATTGCTTATTAAAGCATAATCCTCTGAGAAAGTCAAGATTCTAAAGTTAATGTCTACTGTGCCACAACCTGTGATACAGTGAATTGTACACCATCCTGTTTGAATGTACAGTATTCCTCAGGTTGTCCATTACCAGCAAAGCAAACTGTGTTTGGTACTCAGCTGTCTTCTCCTATAGTCTATTTTCCAGACAGACGTAAAACACAATTTTTTGGTGTTCTACTGTCTATTGCTATCCTAGCCCAGCCTAGACTGTAAAGAAGCTGCTAATCTTAAATAACCTGTTACAAATCCCTACAGGATTGTCTCTGCATGCACACTAGGTGTGTTATTGGAATTCATGAACTCCAAAAATGAGTTATTTAGAAAAGGAGGCTGAAGTTTTCCTTGTCAAGCAAGGATTTCTGCAGTCACTTACAGTGACTATACTGTATGATGATTTAACTTAGGGTATTAAATACTTCTGTATTCCACACATTTCTTAAGCTGACGTAACATCCATTTAGTTCCTGGGTTTACTTATAAATTCATCCGCACTGTCATTGTCATCTGTAACGTCTTGTTTCAGGTATTTGTTACTTAAACCTGTAAATCTCTGCAAAATTGATGTTTCTCCATTCTTCCAATATTTTGTTTCTGCTTCCTTTCCTGAAGCTTTAATTCATTTCATGACTCTTAACAGCCCCCCTTTATTATTAGCATATTTATTTAAATATTCACAGCAAATACTAGGAGCGGCTTTAAGAGCTGATCATGATTAAAGCTCAGATCTTAAGTCAGGCAACACATGACTGTTAGCCAGGTTAGCTAGGGCTCAATTTTTGTTTTTATTTGCAACTATATTTTTAAGATCTCAAATTCTTAATCATACAAGTTCTCTTTGCTTTTTAAGACTTGTATATTATTTAAAATATGAATTTAAAAGATAAACAAAGAAGAAATGATGCTCTCTGGGCATGGGCAGGTAATTACCACATTATTCTGTAGTAACTGCCCATGAGGACGGCTTTACCTTTTTCTGCAGGACTAGCATCCTCCTTTAAAATGTACTCCCTGACGTGCATTTTAACCAGCAATCAGTTTTCACATGATCCTTTAAGATTTCTGCTAGGGTGACATTTCCCAGGGTTACTTTGCCTGTATGGCTAAAACGTTCCTAAAACCTTGTTCTTGTTAAAAAATATTTTAAAAAATGTCAGACTTCACCTACTGCACAAGTCATCTTTTAAATCTAGGTCTCCCATAATCAGCCCTAACCCCAACATCCCGTAGTAAAATCCTAGAGCTGTTGTTAAGTTTTTACAGTGTTTGCTTTACACAAGGCCAAATACATTGTCACACTAACCAGAGTGCACATCTTTTGTTCTCACTTCTATGTTTTAGTCCAACTGCGTACGATCAGCTGACCTCACCTTCCCCACTGCTGCTGGGCCGAAACAACCTCCTGCCACCTATTAGTGCCACCAATGTGACGGAGCTTGTGAGCACGGCAGGACCCCAGAGGCAAACGGTAACTTTACACAGGCATGGCCATTTAATTGTATTATTCAAAAGTACAGAATTATAGCCTTTGTTGACTGAATTAGCAAACCCAAGAGCTCTAGTTTATGTTATAACAGCAGCTGAAGTAGGTACACAAAAAATATACGTTAGTTTTGACCAACAGCATGACATGACAGTTGAATGCTTCAGTTGAAATAAATGCCTGAATTTTTGTGCTCCCCATGAATGGCTAGAATATGATCTAATGTGCAAAAACAAGTTTAATTCCAAGACTAATTACTTGTTTTAACAGACTGCTGCAAAGAAGGTGAGTTTTTTTTCTTTCATTCTTCAATACAGAAGTCCCAAGGGAACTCAACTCGAGCGTTCAGTGCAGCAACACACGAAGATAAACATCTGCAGCTACAGGAGAGGCTTTTCTTACCAGATCACTTCTCCAGGCCTAACACGACAAACACTTTCTTGGTAAAGCACAGCAAGTTTTCCCAAATCCTCTCCTATCTTTACACGGGATGAGTTGCTTGAGAAGAAGTGTCACAGGTGGTTGGTGTGCTAGACAGCTCATCAGGTTAGGCAATAGATTAGATACCTAGGGGTTAGCAAAAGCCTTATTGCATCTTGTGTATTTGACAGCTCAGGCAAGTTTTGTGTTATAATTATTTTGTATTCTATTGTAATTTTAATATTAAAAAACCTAACATAGCTTACACTGCCTTTCAGCCAGATGCCCAGCACCGCCGCTCTTGCACTGTTATTGGCTACAGTAATCAGCCTCGGACAAGCAGAGGAGCGACGGGTGCAGGTATGTGCGTGTTACCAATCACACAATTTAATAAGATCAAGTAACAAGCAGGCATTTGGGACAGGAATACATTACCTAGATTGTTAAAGTACACAGTGAGGAGGCTTCTTAAACAGTTCTAATGTCATTTTGTAATTTTTCATTATACAAGTTTGATACTTGCATATAGAGTTGTGCATTTTGGTTTGCCACCTAGTATTTTGTGTCATTTAAAAATGCTTAATGGAATCAGTCCCGTTTCCTCCTCCGACTATTAGTACCATTTCCTTCAAATTCAGTGCACAATCTGCACTAGATCATAAAATAATTACTCTAACTGAATTCAAAATATATTTTACACACAGTTAACTGAGTCAGTACAAGTTTAAATCCATGCTATGAAATCAGAACATACTGATACTGTTTGATTTGTAACAATTAAGTTATGCTAAATAACTCCATAAAGTTTACTAGTTCACCTCAAATTAAACTACTTATTTTTGATGACGAAAGTATCAATGAGGTAGGAAGCTGGTTTTTGCTGTGTATATAACACATACTCTTTTTCCAGCTTTCCTTCTTTTGTGGAAAGATCATTACCTTCATTTTTTTTCTTTAAATATGCTTTGAAAATAGTCTTTTTATATATGCTTTAGAATGTTGACTATCAAAGTAGCAAGGTATAATACTAAGTTGCATGTAATCATGCCAGAAAATAGTGCATCTTTCTTATTTCACCTCTACTGTAGGAAGGGTTTTGATCACTTGCTCTGCAAACCACTGCATAGCAATCAATTCAAATATAAATATGTTATTGGGAAAACATCCTCATCTTTGTATCATGCAACACAAATAAGCATTGACTCTCTGCTCTTGTGCAAGACTACTTAAGAACTGCCTGGCTGAGGGCTTTGAACTCCCAAAAGCACCAGCTCGTTGAGAGCTGGTTCAGGAACTCGTTCAGAAAAGTCTGGGCAAAGCAAAAACCAGCTTTTGTGCCCTGGAACAGTTTTGCCAAGTACCATCTTCATAGCTCTTACCTGAGCTCCCCTTGAGCCTTCCGTGTCAGCTGTAACATCAAGTGAAGTCAGCAATTGCCTCCACCTGGAAAGGGTGGCACATTTCTCGGAGTTAGTGATAAATAGCTTTCCAAGTACATTCTAATCATAAAAAAATGAAATAGTAATATAAAAAGCCCCTCAAAACCTAAGTGTTTTAATATTAAGTAATACTAAGCTAAAGCAGATATCTGGTACCTTCTAGATGTCTTAAAGTTGTACACAATCTTTATTTACTAGGTCTTCAGCAGCATGGCTCTGTGAAAACCCCAAGTCGAAGTGGATCGGTCACAAAAAGCAAGCAAGGGTTATAACATGCCACAAAGAAGCATCCAGGCATCTCCAAGGAGCCACAAAACACCTCCTGTTCTCAACCGTGTCAGCCTTGTTTACAGAGTTTTCAAACACCCTTCCTTACTAAGAGTCCTATTTTTATATAGATCTAAGAAGCAGCTGCCAAAGATCAGAAGGGGTATATTTTCACATTCCATTTTCTACCCCCAGAAAAAGTTAGACTCCAGTGGACAGTGAAGCCTAATTCCTAGTAAATGTAGCAAATATCCAGAAATCACTGCTCTTTGCCATTAACCACTATTGGTTTGTGACTGGTTGATGTTATTACAGGCACATACTGCAGGACCTGCTAATTTTCCCCATAGCTCTAAGAAAACTAGTCAGGCCCTGCACGGCAATAGTAATTTAAATTTTGAAAGCTATATTTAAAACTGTAAAGCAATATTATGCAATCAGAAGCAAGAACTGCATAGGAGATATATTGTACAACTTGAACAAACTATGAATCCTGCAGTTGTGTAAAATAAGGTAGCAACACCATATAGTAGAATTGACAGCTTTTAACGTAGCACACTAATGATCCTTCCTGTGTTACATACTACTACCTCTTCCTCAGGGACCTGAGAAGGACGTTTAAGGGAAGGAAATAATCTCTTACTGTAGGCAGTTCCAGACAGTATTCACAGAAAGTACCTTTTCGTCCTAATGAGCTATTTTATAATTTCCATAGGTCAGTCAGTCACCCTTTAAAAAAGCCTGCCCTGCAGTTACCTAAGTACTTCTGTACTCATCCATCAATTTCTGCACTCCACTGAGGCAATTTACTTTTTTAGTCACTGTGTTTTGCACCACACAGCAGGCCTGGAGAGTATTAGCTTTAGCTGTAGTTGCTCTTGTGACTCAAGATAAAAGCAAAGACACAAAACAGCAGCTTATCACAATAAATGATTAGTTGAAGGCCTATTCATAAGCAGTTAGTGCCAGACTACAAGTAAAGTGTAAAGATAAACACTGTATTTTTAACAAAGTTAGGATACTGCACAAAACAGTTGTTGCTTTACTAGAGAAGCTTTGTTGTATTTTATAATCCAATTAAAAAGCATCTTTTCTAAGCTTCCACCCTGAATTGTGATTTGAAGAATATTAACAATAAGAAAAAAAAACGGTATTTTTATAAAGTTTCTCTCCTCTTCCCCTGCCATAAGCAATGCAATTTACCAGATGTTAATGTTCCCTATAGGAGAGCTGAAACTTACCCAGTCTGGTCAATTCAAATACGCTCTGATCAAAAAGAAGGGGAGAAAAAGTAAAACAAACCCACGGAACTGGTTAAGTCTTATATAACCCTGTCCCATTTCCCCCAAAGAGAAAAAAAGTCCTATCTCTATAGCACAAGTTTGCATAAAGATACATGGATGCTGAGAAGAGGTCTGTTCACCAAAGCTTCTCTAAAGGGAAAGACAACTAGAACCGCATGCAGCATCATTTAGTTCTCTCAGGGTAACTGGAGAAAAACATCCTGTTTATATCAGTGCCATAATAAGCCAATTGATAACTCAACAAAGCTGCCACATAACAAATACATAACATGACAAACTGAAGCCATAATGTCATTTTAGTCAATACAAAGGCTCCTTCTTTATGGGAATTAAAATACTCCCTGTTAAAACTTGATCAGAATGGCTCAGGTTGTCACCCTATGATTACAGCCCATCCTCAGGGACCAAACTAATTATCTGTAGCCCTAGTATGAGAATTTAAAAATACACAGATAAATGGCAATAGACTTCTAGTAGCATAATGTAGTGTTTAGAATCTAAAGGAGTCTGTGAGTTAAAGACAGTAAAGGCAATCTCATCACAGATAATTCTTGCTTTTTGTACAAATAGCTGACACCAGAGCATTTCCCTTTAGCATCAGGTATGTGTTTTGTGTAGTAAAAATAAAGTTCAAGTCCTGCATGTTATCTAACAAAATGATATAGTATGAGAATCCTGAGAATCAGGATGGTTGTTGAAAGCAGCAAAGTAAAAGTTCAGATTTCTTTCAGATACTCGCATGCTGCATTAAGTGGTTTAAAATCGGAAAAGTTGATTTTTTTTTAAAAAAAAAAATCCTTAGATACCTGCTACAGGGCAACGTCAAAGACCAGATACTGAAGACCATGTGGCTCTTCCATCTGACCTAGTATCACCAGCACTGATGCCACTATTAAGAATACAGCCATATCTTTAGCTGCCATACAGGTAGCCAGGATTTACTTCATTTGAATCAGTCAGAAGAGTCAACAGTTATCAATTTGTGGGGTTTTGAGCAGCTAAAAAATTAGAAGCTGACATGTACAGGTCTAAGGAAGCATGATAGGACAGAGTTTTGCAAAAATCTTATACTTTATTAAATCTGCAATTTTCAAAAGTATTTCATAAAATGACTGAAGTATCTGAAAAACACCCATTGAACTGAGGTATACAGACCATTAAAAACACCAAGAAGTTTGTTACAGAACTGTATGAACAACACAAAAGATAAGTCTTCCAGCTAATAAGCCATACCAACAAACATTTATACCCTCTCCAAGGAGCTGAATCATACTGTTTTGCCATCAGCAATACTGATATCTGTTAGGTAGTCGGAGGAAACGTTCTTCACATTTTTAACATAGACACTTTCCCAAACACCACAGCATTTTCGTACTGTAACAGAACTGTTACAAGAATTGGTTTGATCTTAACTGAAGATCAACTAAAGGATTTTAAAAAGTAATGCCAGAATGTTTTGTCTTTCTTGTTCACAACACGGTCTGCATCGCACTTTCCAGTCACAGCATGATACTGTATATGCATTCCCAAGCAGTAGTCCAGAATATTTCCGAAATCCTGTCAGACCCCCACAATGTTCCCACACAAAGTGATACCTGACTTTCCAGCCTACAGTTTTTTTTTTTTTTTTACTTCTTCCCTTTCTTGGTGGCAGTCTTCTTCCCTCCTTTTTTTGAATTATTCCCATATTTTGCTTCTAGTTGTACCAAGAAGTCATCCATTTCCTTTTTTCGATCTTTATTTCTACTCTGTGAGAAGGGAAGAAAATATATAAGCAATGTTTACCACTGCCAAACATAGATTATTCTAATGAAGTTAATTACAAAACCCCTTGGAATGTATTAAGAAGTAGAGATTATAGGATACAGGACTATTAAGTAAAAGCCTACTGTGTGCTCTAGTGCTACCGTGTGCACCCAAGTTCTGGAAGTGTCAAGAAACAGGTAAAGGCTATAAAAGATCTCAGCCTTAGTGACTATTAATTAAATATACATACACATTGTTAACATTAAATACTTGGATTTTCATCTTGGAAAGCTCTTACGGTATAGGACCCAAAATACAGAGATGCTCAGGGAAAACAAAACAGTCAGCCAGTAAGATAATGGTTTTCAGGAGATGCAAAAAGTCTTACTTGAATGAGTGCTTTCAAATCACCTTCACCGTCACCAAGGCCCAATTCTTCTCTAGTCTTTTCTGCCTCTCTAGCTTCTTTTTCTGCCTAAAACAAAAATCACAAGCTAGCTTTCAGAAGAGCATTTTTGCACATGTTATCACAGTCTTATAATAGCTATGGAACACTTGACTTTTGCAGTTTATATATAGATAATGAAAAAGAAAATTAAACTCTCCAAGTTTAGCCACAGATACATAGTTCATCAATAAGAGAGCCCATTCTGGTTCCTCAGTTTGGTGGCACAGATCACTTTTTGCTGTTTCAAAATGCTGAATGTGATGGGATGCCTTTCCCTTGCATATGATTTTGTTTTTGTCCTAGCAATGACTACATTTTCTTTCAGTTAGAAACCAATTCCTATGGTGCATATATAGCATAACACTACACAAAGCATCCAAAATGTGCTGGAAAAAAAGGGTACATTTTGTCCAGAGTTTTATTTTACGTGTTGCCAACAAAGAAGTCTATTACTCCTTCCTGAACATGTTCTAAACTCCAGCAATGTGTGGCTTAGGGAATAAATCAAAAGACATGCTAAACTATGATAAGGCAGTGGGAAAGCAGTTTTCAAAAAGCAAAAGGAGATGAGCAACAGTCTGTTACCACCCAAAGCCTTTAACAACAATTTGGCTGAAATTAAAGTAAAAAACTTTTTTTTGTTATGGGGGGGGAGGAGGAGAGGCGTAGGGAGCAAAAGGTGACTAAATGTGACAGTCAGAGATACCAAGCAAAACCCAAATCCCTGTGATAAACATTTCTTAACAACAATTTTGTTTCTGTTTACCACAAAAAAATATATATATATTAGAAGCCTATAATAAATAATGCTTCCCTGTGGTCACCGAGTGATACCACGTACCCTCCTTTTCCTCGCGTTCATTTTCTGCTTAGACTCTTTCACGAAAGCCTTGTAGGCGGGGAGCTCTCCGGAGTCGATGGCCCCCTGTATGATTTTCCTTATCCTGGGCTCATCTGCGTATTCTGCACACAGCACCGACTCCATGACCTTGTCCATATCGCCCTCGAAGTCCACATATGCTGCCTTGATATCATCGAGTTCCTCTTCCGAGTCCTTGTAGCTCTTCTCAAAGTCTTCGATGTCCTTAATGGTGATCTGAGGGGAAGAGCCACACACAGACATCACCAAGGGCGGGATTTCTTCCTCGGAGGAGGTTTGCAGGGTATCGCCTCAGGAGGGAGGCCCCGCTCACCTTCTTGAAGAGCAGCCTCCAGTGTTCCTGCCAGTCGCGCTCGGGCTGCAGCTCCTCGCCCTCCTCCTCCTGCACCGTGCCCTGCTCGTCGTACACGGCGCGCCGCTCCGCGTCGCTCAGCACGGCGTACGCGCGACCCAGCACCTGCCGCCCGCGCCGTTAGAACCGTTAGGACCGTTAAGGCCGTTGGGGCGGCTCCCCAGCGCCCGCCGCGCTCACC